ATTATTCAGAGGTAAAACCAGGCAGGGGTCCTCTGAAAAGGAAAGTGGAGTTCCTGTTTGCTAGGCCTGTTCTGACTGGCCCTCTGGGTTCCCTAGAGGCACCCTTCTGTTTTCTGGGTGGAAGAGCCATCATAATTGACCCTTGCAACTCTTGGGCTATTTCGAGAGTGAAGACAGCAAAATAAATAGTAAACAGGAGTCAAGGTATCTGAAGATGCAGAAGGGGGAAGAAAGCACAAGGATAGACAGAAGGGAAGGAAAATGGGGGAAGCAGTAGAAAGCAGAGATGCCTGAAGCTTTTTTGTGTCTTTTTTTGTGCAGGCTTCAGTGGGAATGATTACAAAACTGGTGGGAGGGTGAAATGTTTAGCAGAAAATCAAAACCCACCTATACCGTATTGTAACTAATATTTTCATGTTCTGCTAAAAACACCTGGAAGCCTTTCTCTTCAGTAAAGGAAACAATAAAGATTAATGAGTTAATTTGGTAAAGCTGACTTGAATTGCACAGAAGGTGTTGCGTAAGTACTTGGCATTTAAAAAGTTATCTGACATTTAAAAGGAGATGGCTGTTAATGAATTCAAAAGCTAATCTTATACTCTGACAGAGAGTGCCATGGAAAATCCAGGATTATTATCTTGCTGTAAACATAATGTGATTCAGTTGAAAGCCAGAACAAAAGAGAGCTATGGGCTGTAATACAAATACCCATATGCACGCATATAAAACGCAGGAAAACTTACAGAGGATGTCCATTAAATAAATACCATTTCCTTTCTTATTCCCATAATATCTGAGCCCCAAACTTAAAGAAAAGCCCTTCTCTCTGGTAATTTTCCCTCCTCCTTTAAGATTGTCTATTTTGAAGGGTCGCCACCATGGATTGGCTCTACAGTCACTGGAACATCTTACCTGAAGAAGGAAAGCAGGTTCTAAACTCAATCAGCTAGATCTCCACCCATGCGTCCCACAGAGCCACCAAAGATACACATCTGTCCTGCAGGCATCTCTCAGACCCTCCTCTCTACTTCTCCCACTCCTTTCTAATTGGGGTTCCCCATCTCCGTAGCTGCGGCTTAATGGCTCCAAGAAGAGCTATTGTCCCTCATTAAGGAGGCTGCAACACTCTCACTGTCTAACTGCCTCCCACGCAGCTCACAACTTCATTCTGCCCGAGAGAAAGCTGCCAAGAGTCTCTGGGAACCTGTGGGCAAGCTGAGCTGGAGGAAGAAAACAGAAGGAAGGAGGGCCTTTGTAGCCAAGATCTGAAATGTGCTGGGGCACACACCCCATCATTATCTTAATGCATGGAGAGCAGGGTCGGGAGGCCTTTGCTGAAACCCTTACGTGGTCTATCAAGTTGTCACATCAAACCTCTGTGCACACAGGGCATTTGTCCCCTCCTGTGAGCAAACAAAAGGAAAAGAGCCAGTCTCTCCTTTGGACCACCAGGCCCCCCTCCTTGGCTGAGAGTCTGTCCCTCCACTTTCTTGGGGGCTGGGGGGTACTCTGAATCCCAGCGGGGATGGACAGATCTGAGAGATTTAGTCATTGGGGGTGGGGAGGGGTGAGGAGGGCTAGGATTCTGAGCTTCCCCCTCACCATGCTCCCTACTGGGGGGGTGGGGACCAAACCCTGGAAAGGGCCACTCCCCTGCCAGGGAGCCATGGGCTGAAGGGTCTGGCCAGTTCCCCAGCACTTGGCCTTCTCAGGCCCTGTTATTTCTTGCCTGTGGAACTAAAAATGGGTGGTACGAATGGGGACAGAGTGGGAGCTGAGGGAGAATGGAGCCCTGCGGGGCTCCCTATGACTGGGCTGCTTGGGGAAGGATCTGAGTGGGCCAGGGGCTCTGTATACACTATCAGCTCAGGGTAACTGGGAGGGGACCCAGCCTGTGCAAGGTCAGGGACCCCAACCAGACCCAGGTCCCCCTCTGAGACCTTTTCTCTGTCTAGGTTTCCTTGGCCTGGAGGAGCAGAAGACCTCTAGTCTTTTAGGAGGCCAGACAGAACACCAGGATCTCAATTCAATAACCTGGTCTGCCTGCATGGCCTCTTTCAGAGGAGAAAGGACCATAAACCACACCATAGTGTGGTTCCACTCATCCCAAGGGTGCCCAGCAGTCCATGTGCCCATCACCTGGGTCCATCCTGTTTGTCTTGGCCACCTGACATCCTGGCCCACTTTTTGTGTTCTAAAGGCAGTTAGGTGCTGGTGAGATGGGCAGAGTGGATGGTTTTGGGAGGGGCTCTGCAAGGAGGCATGGTGGACAGACAGTTTGGTTGGACGCCAGAAGAGCCTTATTTCCCCTCCTGGCACAAATTTTGGTCTCCACACACTTTTTTATGCCGCAACTCTACGAAAGGAGATTTTATATCCTCCTAAGTGTTTAGCAAATTAGTCCCAATAGCTAGCAAACATAGATTAGGAAGAGAAACACTGCAATCTCCAGTCTTAATTTGTGAGAGACTCATTTAGGGACTTTTGCCATGTCATTAATCTTTTTGTGCCTCAGTTCCCCTACCTATACAATAGGGCCAACCAACCGCACTGTTCCCCTCAGGGAACATTTGAATAATGAAACCCAGAACACCTTAATTCCATGGACTTCTACTATCAGGAAGTAAATCTTATCCATGAGTTCTAATTGATATTGTCTTCAGTTTAATTAAGTGCTTTGTTGACACAACAGAATCATTGTTTATCTGGCTTAGCAGGAGCTGGAGGAGAAAAATTTTAAGCCAAAATAGTGATCTCTTTTGCCCCAGGGGAGGTTAGAAACTAGCTTTTTCTGTGAGGGGGTGTCTGGTTGTCTTCAGGCTGGAACTTTGCCTGTGTTTGAGAGATGACGCATCCTATTTTAGACCGGGAGATGAGAGGTGGTGGGGTGCAGGGTGAGAAATCTGAACAATCCCCTACTTTCTTCTAACCCAACACTTTAACCCAAAACTGTGTGACTTTCTTGTTATCACTGGGTCTGGTGTGACTTTTCCAATCTGACAGCCAACCGAGAGACAGGGAATCTCAACTTGCAAACCGATTCTACTCTAAAAGGTCATTTAAAATCAGTCGATTTTCACTAGAAAAAGAAATGATACCCATGTTGCTTTGATTCCCACATTGGCCCATAAAAGTTTATCTAACCCATAATTTAGCTGGACGAAAAAGCTGAACTAGCCCTGGTAGTGCTGGGGCAGCAGAGGGCCGGAAGGAGAGAAACAAACACCTCCTTTCCCTTTCTTTCCCGCCCCCTTCCTTTCCTTTGGGCCCTCTTGTCCTCCGACCTCTAAGTTTTCTTGGGCAGCCCTGTGCTGGGGAGGAGGGGGGAGCAGGGGTTGGGCCCTGCCAGATACAGTACTCCTGACTCCAAAATCCTCTGCCCGCCCCCTGTCCCAGGCCTTCAACTGTGCTTCCTTAGGTGCAGGACAGAAAACAATTTAAAAAAAAAATTTCACAATGAGATAGGAGAAACCCAAAGGAATCTCTAATAGGTAGAAATATAAGCAGTGAAACGAAATCCAGACAGCATGGAGGATATTTGGTTGGAGGGACAGTTGGGCTTAGGGGGTTGAGGGTGGGTAGAGTGAGGGACGGGGACAATGGTCGGTCGACTGGCTCACAGTCCTTTAAATTATTCCTACTTTTCAAGCTTCTCCTTTTCCACATCTGCCCTTTTTGATTGTATACAAGCTCCAAGTTCTGTTTTATAATGGCTTTCAAGCAGAGAGCAGGGGGATAGAGTACTTTACAACTGTAATTTATTGGGATGGCTTAGTGACAAACATTGTGCTAATCCCTTTCCATATGTTGTTTCATCTCATTCTTGTCATGACCCCCATGAGGGACATATTATCCTTCACAGATGAGGAAATTGGGCCTCAGAGAGGGTAAATAACCTGCCTGAAACCACACCGCCAGTTGGGAAGAAGCTGGGATCTAAATGCAGCTTTGTGGGAGTCCCAAACCAGCAGACCTCTTTGCAAGTGAAGGTCACAGGCTGAATGGGACTCTGTCAGTCATGACATGTTTCCTCATCTGTAAAATGGGGATAATAACTGTAACTACTTCATAGGGATATCGTAAGGATTAAGGAAGATAATCAACGCTGCACATAGTAAACCTCAAAAACATTGGCTGTTATTATTTAAAAAGACACTCTCAAGATAATGGGGAGAAAATTGTTGATACTTATAATAAAATGGAGGTTCATTATACTAGTCTCTCTACTTTTGCATGTGTTTGAAATTTTCCATAATAAAAAGGAAAAAAGAAAAAGAAATCAACATGGCATCTATCATGTGTCTGGTTGGAACTAGCAGCCAATAGATCAATAAATACAGACTTCCTGGAATAAATGATAGAGGGAAAATTCAAAAAATAAAAGCCTTGGTTTTGTAATTAAACCCCTCTCAGTAAGTTATCCTTAAATTGTCAATGGAGTTTGGGGCTGACAAAATAATCCTGTGGGTGAGGTTGAACCAGAAGTTGAAGTTTGCTTAGATCTTCAAAAAACTTTGAATCAAGCCCCATGACCAAAACTATTTACAAAGCCAGGAGGGAGCAAGGGGAAGGGGGAGGAGAGGAGACCAGCATGGAACCTGGGGAAATTCTGTGCCATGCCTTTGGAAATGAGAAACAAAAGGTGGGGAGTAAAGCCTCCTTCTCTGGATAGGGAGAGGCAGACAGTTAATTCTCTTAGGAATCAGTAATAGGCCCAATCTTACTTATCAGCCTCAAAAAAGTCTCCAAGAAGGGTGCCTAGTGACATCTCTGATCTGCACATAACGCAGAGAGTGAAATACCAAATTGTGCCAACCAACAGCAGGAAGTATCTGGAGATCGTGTGAGTTGTTAGAGAAATGTTATCTGAACTTCCATATCATTATCACTGGAAATAAAACAAGTGCAATCTCCAAATCCTATTTGGAGGATTATAGCTTTTCTACGGAGAACATGGTCCTTAATGTCAACTAAAGATTAATTTGTCAATTTTTTTCCAGTAGCTACCATGTGTCAAGAACTGTGCTAAATACAAGAGATACAAAGGTGAATAAGGCAAAATGGGGGTGGGAAACATGGGGGGAGTCTGTCTTTAAAGATTAGTAGCTTGTTCTTTCAGATAACTGCCAAAAAATTCTACAGAAGGCAGGGCATGCCTCAGAAGGACACTGAAACAAAAGGTTACCTTTGTACCCTTTTGTACAAAAACTTAAGTGTGTCTACAGGTGGGTTTTTATGTGTATGATGTTGTTGTTTGTTTGTTTGTTTGTTTTTGTCCTGCAGGAGGAAGGCTGAAAGGGTTATGAACACCATCTGTGAAACCACCAAGGAAACAGATGGGGTAAGCATAGGTTTATTCAACTTAAGTCCTAGTGTGCTAGAATTACAGGCTACTCTTTGAAATCCCAAAGAGGTAAATTTAGGACACCTAAGATCAAATATGAATTCATACTCTTAAAACTCATAAAACCTGAACTTAAGAGATAATATAGGTTGAAATAGAAGTGGCTTTGTGAAATGGGAAAAAGGGACATAATTCCAGTTTAACAGGATTTTTAGGACACTACCAAAATTCTAATCCCCACAAAGCAACAAAACAAAACTCAAGATAAAGCATGTGAGAACGGATGTTCGCTTTCCTTAACAGAGGGAGAAAATTGACAATGTGAAAACTGGTGAGATAGTTTCTTTCTTATTTTAAACAAAGAGATGCAGTGATTCTTGGGAAATCTAATTAAGGTTTGAGCATGTACTTTGATACTCTTTACTGACAACCTCTCTGCCCTGACAGTTCTATAAACCAGTGGGCTAAGGACTATTCTTGCTCCAAGCTTTCATGGATGGATCTGGGTGCACAAGAGTTTCATAGTTTGAGATCCAAACTTTTCAGAAAAAGAGGCAAATTCATTGTCCCTCAAAGTCTAGGGTCAGAGGGATAAAATGCTGAAAAGGGGTTAAGAGCTTTCAAAGGAGAATTCTGGTGACCCTATCCCAACAATTTAATAAAAACTTAATAATTTTAACTAACAGTAGTTAAAAAACAATGGCACTATGGTGTTGACCCTTGTTTAGCTTGCTGCATACTTGTTTACTGTGACTTCTAGATCATTTTAAGCCAGACTTGAAAAAACTCAGTTTTCCGCTTGATTCATTTTTCCTTCTTACAGGGAGAATTTTGGAAAAAGAAAAAGAAAAAAAAAAGAAAAAAGAAAAGAGAAAAGCAAGAAGACAAACTAAAATCAAAACGTCAACTCAACACAGCCCTAAAAATTTCAAATTAGCATGACTGCAACTTTTTTGCATGTTATTTACAAGTCTTTTCTTCATAGATACATTTATTATTTTTTTACATAGCTGCAGTTCTAGTTAACATCACTCTGATTTCCACTTTTAAAATGTAATCAGTAGTTCTCAACTGGGGGTGATTTTCCCCTCAGGGGACATTTTGGCAAGGTCTGGAGACATTTTTTTATTGTCACAACTAGGGGGCTGTGCTCCTGGCATCTACTGGGTAAAGGCTAGAGATGCTTCTCAACATCCTACAACACATAGGAAGGCTCCCCACGACAAGGAATATCTGGCACAAAATGTTGATGGTGTGGAGGCTAAGAAACTATGAGCATTAAATCACAGTTTCTAGTATGAACAAGCACCATTTTTTAATGCATGAATTAAACCTCTCACTGAGAGGGATATGTCGTCATTAAGGTAATCATTTCTCTGATGTTGGACTATTAGGCTGTTTCCTATTTTTCCTTATTATAGATAATGCTGCAGTGGACATCTTCACTAACTTTTTTCGGCTGAATTATTTCCTTAAGATAAATTCCCAGGAGTCAAAAATACTGAACAAATGAGTAGGAGTATTTTTTCATGCTTCACAAGTTATTTTGCCATTTTGCTTTACAACTGGATTAAACCAAATTACAACCCACCAGAAGTGTGTCAGTGTACCCGTTTCACCAAAATATAGGCAGTACTGGGTGTTACCATTTAAATAAAAGTGAGAGGCGGCATACATCTCGAATATAAAATGATACCTCCAGTTTGCCTCAATCTGCATTCAAATTGCCACTCAGGAGAAATATTTTTCCATCCTTGTTTTCTATTGCTATTATCTTTGATATAAATTGTTTATGTCTTTTGCTTATTTTTCTAACTGGTTCTCACTGTTTTTCTTTTAAAATTGAATGTAATCTTTATCGAGCATAGATAGCAATGCTGTCATAGTTAACACAATATTTTTAACTTTTTTTTTTTTTTTTAGTTTTGCTTTTTCTGCCCCTACAGCATAGATATGTTAACGTAACGTTTCCTGCTGGAATTTCCATTTACAATTTTAATACTCTTTTTTAGGTGCTGGTCACCTCACCCAACCTGCAGCCTCAACACAGAGAGGCCCTTGGGGAAGAGAAGCTTCTCGAGCGATTGATGTCAGCCGCCGAGGTAAGAGCAGTACTTGGTCCCCACGGTATGCGGGAAGTAATTTCTCTTAATCAAATGAAAGGCCCGAGGAGGAGCCACAAGGCAGAAAGGAAAATATACGTGAAGGAGAATACCAAATTCTGTGAGGAGTTTGAAAGACCTGCATTAAAAAAAGGGCATCATACCTTTAGGACTTCAGAACTGGCAATGCTCCAGATGCAGCTATTAATATGCAAAAAATGCCTTCATAAATACTTGATTCTGTTCACAGTGGGGAGGCAGTTCATTTGAAAGAGGAAATGGGAGCTTGGAGTTGAAACATGTCTGCTTGTCTCCTTTTTCTTTTTTCACTGCTCTTTTCATCTGCACATTTTGCCCTTGTAATTTCTTCCCCTCTTTTGGCGACTTACCCCCCTCCTCCAACTCCCAGGAAGTTGTCGAAGTTGTCGAGGTCGTGGCTTCTCCCACTTCTATTTGCGGATTTGCCTCGAGGCCCTGACGCCGGGCCAGGTGTGGAGGGGGCGCCTCAGGAGCCAGTCGCCGGGTTGACCAGCCCGCGTGCGGGAGGCTGGAGCCGGGCTCCTTCCCGCTCTCTTCCGCGCCGCCGGCCGCCCGCGAGGCCACGCGCCGCCGAGCTTTCAAATCCCGCCGCTAGGGGGCGTCCGGAGGCAGCCTCCCGCAGCCGGGGGCCAAAGCCACCAACCCGGTCAAGTCGGGCTTGCTCTGTCGCCACACCCCCCCGTCAGAAATTGTTTCCCCAGTCCAGGTCTGTGACTTCTTGTGAAAGCATGGTGACGCCCAAATAGTCCACTTTGGTGGGTTTTTTTTTCCTTTCCTCGCGGCCAGCGCCATGATAAAAAAGTGAAAGTGTTTTATGCGACCGAACTCCTAATATGATCAGACCCCAGGGAGGGGGAGGCAGGGGGTGGGTGAGTGAGGAGTTAATGGAAAGGAAAGAAAAGAAGAGACTGCTGGTGCTGATAACGATCAATTTTGTGTGCTCCCCTAGCCTGCTTCAGAGTGGGAAGACAACCCTGCAAGGAATCCGCTGGATTTGCCCGCGGCCCATCAAGGGATCGAACTGAAATCTGCTGGGCAGAAATTTGTTTTCTAAATCCTTCCCAGATGCTTTATAGTAAACATGAAATTAGTCATTTACATGGAGTAGGTGGAGGAAGTAGTGAAAATTGAAGCCAGTGATTACTCCAATGAAGGGCCATTGGCCTCAAGAAGTGAGGGGTGGGGGAGGCACGGGAGCCGCCCCCCCTTCCTCAGCCCCACCCCCATGCTCTCTGTGTTGAGGGGCTGGTGGCGCTCCCTAGACATTTCCTCAAACGGCTTTCCTTTTGGGGGCTACTTCTAAAGGGAGTAAGACTCCTGTGACGTGAACAAACCCACCGGTTCTGTGGGGAGCGACGGCCCACCTTTCACAAAGGAGGCCCACGAAGTTCTCGGAGTAAGCTGGTTGGCCAGGGCTTCACGGGGGAAACCCAGGATTAGAGTTTGAGCCCCTCGGCCTGGTGTTCCCCTTTCTGACTGCAAGGTGAATAATTCAGTCTAGGGCTTAACCGGACGTGCCTGAGCCACCGTTTTATTGCAGATGATATTAGGTCTCCTGAAATGCAGCCGCGGGAGCTGTGTGAATTTGGAGCCTGTTTAGGGTATGTGAGGCATCCACAAGGCCTTTGGTATTAGCAGAATGTAGCATAGTTATATTCTCCTTAGTCACAGACTCCCTTAAAAAAGAAAACCTTCTAGGTCCTTACAAAGGCTGTCTCCAAAGCAGGCATGTAAAAAAAAAAAAAGAAAGAAAAGAAAAAATGCAAACATTGGTTCAGTGATTCCTCAGTAGCAGGAAGGGTCAGCTCAGCTGTGTTTTACCTCAGCGGAGGCCTGCCCCAGGCCTGGGGTTCTAACAGTGAGAGTTCAGATCCTTCCTTAGAACCCAGCTAGGCACACACATGAAAACAAAACTAACTTTATTATTATTGTTTTTTAATGGATGTGAGGGAAGAGGAGAGAGCCAGGCAGTGGCAGGAAGTGGGAGATAAGGGAGAAGTAGAGCTCATGCCCCCTTCTCCCTGCCCAGGCTGTCGCACAGCAGGGAGAGACCTGAGAATGCCCTGGAGCTGTGTTGCTTCTGCTTGGGGTTCTCTGAGACCCTGGGCACAGCTCTAGGAATCCCCCTGAGTTGTCTCTCTAGAGTGAATTTGAAGACAGTCCCAGTCTCAAAGCTTCAAATGAAGGAACAAACTTATACATATTTGTGAATGTACATCCTTGAAACACTAATATTTCTGGCCCATCCAAATGAAGCATTTTTCTCCTTTCTTCACAGTATCCTTACATTTTTTTCTTGATGCTACTTTTTCCTCCCCATTAGGAATGAGAAATGGATGGGAAAAAAATGGGCCCTTTAGCACAAGTCTTAGTGCCTATTGCCTTGATGGATGATACCTTTCTCTGTTTCCCTGTTGCCTTTTTGACTTTGCAGAAGTCAGGGAAAGACTGATTCAACTCATTCGGGCACATAAGAGCCACACAAAATAGTCCAAGTTTAGTTAAGACATTCCAAGGAACCTGTGTGATTTTCCTGATGAGGCAAATGAGGCCCAGAGAGAT